GATAGACTGGGAAATGATGCAACTTTGGATTTACTCTGATGATTCTATGGCTCAGCAAATCTATATTTCTGTCATGTACAGAGTAAGCTTCACAGTTTATATCCCCAACAAAATGTTGAGAACATGAATCATACTAATTCTTGCAACTTCAGGCAAAGAAAGAACTCCCAAAGCAGCCATATTCCAAGAAAAAATAAAGAAATATATAGCTACCTACTACTAACACAAGAATTAAAATATATAATCTCTAATGAAAAAAAGCCCAGTGCAGCCAAATAAAAAGGGATAATCAACTTGTAGATGGTTGCAGACTCCATGAATCTTATGGTGTGGCAGCAGTAGAGTGCTGGGTGGCTATTAAATATACCATGTTACAAATTACAGAACTCAAGACCTGCTCCATGCAGCCATTTGGAGCATTTTGGAGACAAGGGGAGGGGACAAGCAGCCCTTGGGAAATTGGGGTCTCCCAATGGGCTGCTAATGCAGTTGGAATCTTCTTTCCTCTTCTGTGCTCTTATTTCTTCTCATTTTCTTCAAGCTCAGGTAAGTAAAAAGTTCATGTAAGATGAGAGAGATTCCTTAGATATACCACACAATGTGTAAATTAGGGATCACAAAGTTCTGTATGGCTCTGACATATTACTGTCCTGTTGGAGGTTTTTCTTCCAGATATTCCAATAGCAAATGTTTGCACAGTGCAAGAGATCAGAATGATAAAATAAATAAACATTGTCCAACTGAATATGGAAAATCTCAGCTGCTTTGCTAATGTGGGCATGTGTATATATGTGAACATACACACACATACATCAACAGGAAGAATTTGAAATGGAAGCCAGGGAGGTCAGTGTGAAACAGCTGTACTGCTGGCTCTTTAGCTGACTTCACTGAGTAAGCTGCCTTTCTGCAACCTTGGTAATTTGCCATGGTCTCCTTCTTGCTCAGTTAGAATTTTTGGTTCATGTAAATCTGTACCTATTTGAATTTATCACCTTGTGTTCCATGTAAGCAATCTGTGAATTTTTGAAGCCTTAAGTAGAATGCAAAATACTACACAGAAAAATGTAAAGCAGCACTGCCTATACAGTGAGTATGGATTCCAAGGGGCTTCAGGGAGCACTAGATTATGCATTTGGACTGCAGGGCAAAGGGAGAGCTTGGGAACTGCATGTACATCTAGATGTCTTCTTATCAGCTCTGCAGAGACCCAAGAGCTCTATGCACTAAGGGCATGGTTGAAAGCCTTGTTAGGAGATGGCAGAGTGTGGAGAGCTGTAGTGTGGTCTCCTTATACAGAATCTATCAGCAGGAACATTTGTCATACAGATTTTGCCACAATATAGAAGATGGAAACTTTCATTTTAGTCTGAATAAGTATTATTCTTACAGTAAAGAACCGGAGTTGAAGAGTGTGTGTCCTTTGGCAAAGAGTGATTGCCTAGTCTAAAGAAGCCAGGAAAAAAGATATTTCTAAAGAAAAATAAAGACATTTTGTTCACTAATAAATTTTGCATTTTCTTTTTCATCTGCACAGGAGCATAAGAAGCACTAAAATAGTTGTTACCCAGAAGTGTAAAGTGCTATCCAGATTTTGCAGGGCATTGCTGGCTTCCTGCCTGCCTTGGCCTCAGTATGAAAGGGAGAAAAGAGGAACCTGGTAGCCAGGAGCCACATCAAGGTGGAGATTTTGAGTCTGGATACCCTTGGGTCCAGTCATGGCTCCCCTGCCTTGCTGCATTCAGAGCTGTGGAAGGGTAAGCTCAGAGCTCTACCATTATGTTTGCTCTCCTGTTTCACTGTTATGTGAGTCTTGGCTTCACCTCCAAACTCCCCTCAGCTGTGGTGGTTGTGTGAATGAAAGGGAAAGCTTTGCTAGAATTATGCCAGGCAGCAAAGAGCCCTCAAAGACAAAGAGAGAACTTCAACTTTTCTGTGTTTGATCCCGATAAGCTGATGCAGCAGTGTGTCGGCAGGTCTCCAGGGCTTTTCCCAGCAGAGTGTGCAAAGTGGAGCTCAGGCCAGAGCGAGGATAATAGCCAGCAGTGCAGGAAGCTGTTTGGGTTGCTGCCTTGCTTGTGTCTGCCTTTGAACCAGCTGAGAGCCTCGCTACACATTCAGTTTTACATGTATGACTGGAACATACTGGTGTGACTGGGAAGGAAGTGGCAGAAGAAAGCTTATTGAAAGTTGTTCTAATTTTTCACACATCAGAGGCTTCCAGCAGCTCTGAGGACTAATTATCCATCAGTCCCCTATGAACTACATAGATTTGCTCTACATGGGGTTAGAACTGCACCAGAAGACAGCTCATTTCACATGCTAATAGCCTTTAATACTCTTCTGTCATGTTTCACAATCCAATTATTTATTTATTTAGAAAAAAAAGCTGATCCTGCCATGGATTCCTGTGACCTGGCTGTTCTACTCAGCCAGGTCCTTCCACAGCCTCTATTTGCAGACTCCCTCTTCTCTTTATTCCACCGTGCTGGCAACATTTGTGCAGGCATTTAAGCACTTTATTTCCCTAAGTCAGATTCGATTAAAATGACACATCAGAGACACTTCCTGCTGTAGTCCTGTCCTAAATATCCACCTGTTTTAGGGCATTCTATCTTTTAGTTGGTCTTTTGTCATATGCATGAGGTCCCAAGAGTGAGTTTCTTATTACCAATGAAGTATCCCTCATTACCTTTCAGCTCATGTCTCCCTTTTAAAGTACACTATAGCTTTTTTTATTCAGCTCCACTGCATTGATGTGTAAGCTTGGTCCTCTGATAACTGTTCCAGAATAAATCAGCATCTTTTCCTCTCTCTGTGAGAAGGGAAGGGGAGAAAATTGAAGGAAATTTTCTAGACAGGAAAAAAGCATAGCACATAAAACTTGAGGAACACCTTACAATGAAAACCTGAAGAAAAAGAATAAGGCAATCCTGTTATTTCCTTAAGGTGCAGCCTGCGAGAAAAAGGCCAGAGAAATATATCCTGGCCTAACCCCAAAATAAATAAAATCCCTTTTCTTCTCCCTGTTTTGTCTTATTTTTTTCACTGAATAGGAAAAATACTAAATAAGAAGACTTACATTTCTTTGTTATATAAGGATGCATGTGAAAAACAAAGGAGTAGAATGCAGAGAATAGCAAATAAAAGATGAATTTTAGCTTTGTAGGACTGAAGGAGAAAAACCCTACAGGCATTTTCAAAGCCTCTTGCTAATTACTGTTATTTCTAGTGGTTACTGAGTGCATCCAGAGTATGACCGTTGCTTGAATTCTGCTTTTGAATTATTCATCACTTTTACTTTCATGTAAAATAACTATTTGTAGTCTTTAAGCCTTTTAATTTTTTTTTTTTCACTAAAACATGGAAATTCAGGGAGGGCTTTGAGATTTACAGAGATGTAACCTTGTTAAAAACCTTGCCTAATCAGAAGGGAGTATGAGAGCCAGCAAACAGGGCTATATCTATAACTGTAGCATTGTGATATTCACAACCAAAATGGTCAATGGTTGCAGGGACACAGAGCCAAAAAAGTCCCATTTGCTGAAGATCTTGATACAGGACAATGTCAAGGCCAAGAAGAGAACCCAAGCCTATGGCCCTAAGCTCCATCCCTTACATGTGTGTCCTCCTTGTTTCTGGCCACTGGATAGTTGTTGTTAAACAACAGAATTACGTTTTCTTCCCTCCCATATATTCTATTTAAAGCTGCTGCTGGCAAGATGTCAGAACGTGAACTCTTATAAAACTCTTTGTAAGTATTTCAGAAAATGCTTCATTAACCTTCAAACTTTTCTTTCTGCCTTTTCATTTTCAAGCTCTGCATGGTTGTTGGTGTCTCACAGCCCTCTGGTTTGCAGAAAATGTACTGTTGTTCTCTGTTCACCTAGTTTTTCATAGTCTGTTTTCCTAGAGAAAGGCAACCTGCTGTGCTGTCCTTGTCTGTTTCCTGCAATTGCTGTCTCTCTCAAATCACTTTTAAATAGTTGTCTGATTTCATCCATTTGGCAGAAATGAAAAAAATAAATAAATCTGTAGGGAAACAAGATTTCTATAGATCAAGGAAAAAACACTGGGCTAGAAAGAGAGGGGAGATTCTGCAGTGCTCTGGCTGAAGCAGGGACTGCAGGACAAAGCTTTCCTACTCCTGGTACCCAAGGAACTGCTCTCCTACCTTTGCCCTCCTCCTGTTATTCCCATTGACTACATTTGGATGGCTTACTAGGGAGAAAGAAAAAACAAATGGTGGAATTTGACACATGAGTGGTCACTATAAGCACTAGATAACACTGCTGGATTCCATACAAATAGAATTACAGAGGGGACACAAAGGTTCTTCTCAAACCTTGATTTTTTAATTTCCATTAAACTGTTTTCAGTTATTGAGAACTGAAGCATTTTTGGCAGTTTTAAAGCTATTTTATTTCTTTTTATTCATGCTTTTTTTTCTATGAGGGGAAAGATTTCAATAAATACCGTGAAAAGAAACAGGAAAAAACCCAAAATTTAATGCCATAGTTTCTGCCACTTCCATTGAAACATTCCCCTCAAAAAGTGTTCCAGCCTTTTACAGAAGAACCTGTAGTCACATTATGGTCTGTTTCCTCTCATGGTTCAACTCATTTAATTTCAGGAGACTTGCTGGGTCAACCAGCTTCTTCCTGAGAAATTACTATTATTAGGAAAGGTTAAAATTTTTACTTTTCTTCCGAGAAATGAATTGGCAAACTCTCAGTTAACCTGTCTTGACTATATTGGTTTGTACATCCAGTTTTTTGGTTAAAATATCTGTCTTGTTTCAAATGGGATAGATGGTAAAAAGTCATGATATTTTATTTTCTGCTCTGTAGCTAATGATGAAGCATCCCTAACATCTGAATTTTTTCTAGCAGAAATGAAATCTAAATCTGTCAGTTAATAATAGCTCTCTCAGAGATTTGAGGCTTTTCAATCCCTTTACACAGTCTTCCCTCGTATTATTTTGTTCTCTTCTCTTGGCAGGTGCTCTGAGGCTGGGATTTCACTTTTAAGGTACTGTGAATAGTGTCTGTAGAATCTGAATGGCTTTGCTTTGCTCATCTAAAAGGAAAGCTAAAGGCAGTGAGGCATTCTGTTGTATTTTTTTACTATAAGAGACATGTTTTTTAAGATGGACAAGATGTGACAGGGTGTCCATTAGCATTACTCCTTTTTAGCCTCCATTATTGAATGAAAATATCTAATGATATTAACTGTTGTTTCTGACAGGGGCCTAGAAATCAAATATTACATCTTGGACTACTCACAGAACCCTTTTCAAACATGTAAAATGAATAATCAAATGTGCTCCGGAAAGAGAGAATCATTTATTTTCTAGAGGAGGAATGCACTCAAATATCCTTGCAAAGATTAAAGGAGAAACTTGTGGTTTCAAATTAGATCCATTACTTGAGGAACAGATATCTCTGAGTTTGAAATTTCATTGTGCAAAGAGCCCAAACACACCACACAGAATACAGCCCAAATGTACAAAATGACTGAGGATGATGTTTGCAGCTCAATTTTTTATGACACAAGAAACCCTGAGAGAGGAAGTTTTTGTTTTGCCTTAGGGAGAGTATGTAGGCTCAGGGGAGAAGGAGATTGCTAATCACTGTAATGACTCTTGCCAGAAAGTAGCTGGCTCCACAGGGTAGTAAGATTAAGTCTTCCCTTCTGGAAGAGCAGGCAGTGCACCAGAGCTGAACTGTGCAGTAAAATCTCAAGCCTGGGCACAACCGTGGCTCTCAGTTCCCGCTGCTGCAGCTGAAGAGGCAGCTCTACTGTCTCATCACCTTCCATGTGAAAATGAGGTTTTGTAGCTTTTCCAGGAAAGTGCAGTGCTGGCTGTTAAGATCCATTGTCAGTTGTCCCCTTTCCTTTTGGACAGGAGTGCGAGTGAGGCCTGTAAGTGAGCAGGCTTTTTTTCTGGCAGCAGATGGTTCAGGATGTAAGCTCATATCCCTGACCTGAAGGGATTTGGTGATGGGATGTAGAAATTGTCACTCTCAATCATTGCCTCAACTCAGATCTAACTGTTATTTCTGAAGATTTGACATCACTGACTCAACAGTTTGAAGTCTGAGGTCCTTTCTGGGATAATTCAGTGCTTAAAGTTTATTTCCTAATGAAAGGAAAAAAACCACAAAACACAGCCAACCAACAAACCAGCAATCATCCAACAAAATACCTCCAAACCAAACCTAACCTAACCTAACCAAACCAAACCAAACCAAACCAAACCAAACCAAACCAAACCAAACCAAACCAAACCAACACAAAAAATGAAACATAAAAAAGGGATCTTTGTTGCCTATCTCAAATAAGACTTTGGGTGAAAGGGTCTTAGAAGAAGACTTGCTTTCGTGAGGAGTAGCCCACCAGGGCTATCACTACTGCATATTTTCAGTAGTTAAACAAAAGAGCTTAAGTACTACAGATATCAAAAAGTATGTTCAGATTTTTTGCAAGCTGCTTGAGAAATTTGCATGAATACCTCATTTCAAAAGGTTTTTTCTATACTGCAGTAATATTTAAAATAACAAGGAAGGCAGAAATCAAAACATTTATACCAGTAACACTACCAAACCACATTTTTCATAAAAAAATCTGTATGACTGGACAACATTACAGCTACTGACATCAGTATGAGAACTTTTGATATATTAGATTACTTCAAGCTTGCAAGTTTGGGGTTTTGGTCAGTTTATAGAAAGTGTCCATCTGACTCCATGCACATTTTGCTTTGGTAACAGCTGGTCCCTGATTGAAAACCTTATAATAGAAAGGAGTTAACTGAGTCAGCCAAAATGCTCCAGACTTCCTATAGCACATGGATTCTCTTTTCAACTCTGCACTATGCCTCATCCTTTGCTGTTATATTTTATGCTGTGGTATGTCAAGTAATGGGAACCACATAGGCCAGACGTCACCGCATTTCTGAGATGTTTAAAGCGTGAAACTGTTGACATGTCTTTTGAGGAACAGGCCCCTTTGAAAAGCAGTACCTTCTATCTGCTGTCTGGACATATTGTGTCTTCTAGATACAGTAGTTTTCCTTACATCACCAACTGAGAACATCTTTTCAGGACAATCAGTCAAGGAAATTAAGGAGACTGCTACCATTTGTCTGCTTCGGATGCCAACATCGATTACAGAAGGAATGGAGGTAAGAGAGGACCTGTTCACAAATTCCTTTGAAGAAAGAGGGAAATGCTTTATATTTCCAGTGGGGAACTATTCTTTGTAGGCAGCAATTAAGACAAATACTCTAATATTGTTGATATAGGCTGTCAGATAAAGTCCTTGGGAGAATATATTGAGCAATTGCTCTAAGTGGAGCATTTATCATTAACCTGAGATGCGCTCTCTGGTTGGTGTGGCTTGTGTTGCAAACACAAGACTGAGCCTAAACTGGGGACATAAATTTTCTGACACTGTGCAGTTTTGAAGGTAACGTGGTCGATAGCTGGGAGAAAGCCATGTGGCTGAAAGCTGTAATTGCCTGCCTGGCACAGAAATATTGTCTCTCCTTTGGTTAGAGGTGTGCAGGGAGGGGAAAGCAGACTGCAAAGAGCCAGAGATAAAGTAGCCAGGGGTAAGATCTTTGCCTGAGAGCTTGGGGTGACTCTGGCCAGCTGAGATTGCCTTTTCTTTATCTCATGTGGTTGTGCCATACACCCCTGCTACAGCTTCATTTTTTCCTAAATGTGGCAGCTGAAGAGAGATTAAAGATGCCCATGTGTGAGGAGGTCTGCTGTTCCCACCCAGAGCCTTGCACATGAGGCAGAGTGATACAAAAGTGGAGAGGGAAAGTCTGAGATTCTCTCTTGCAAACAGACCTGTCACAGCCACTTATGCCTTGTGTTAACAGCCCATCGGCCACCTACTGCTTAACACACAAGGATTAGCAGGGAAATCCCCAAACCTGCATGGATTAAAGTTATACACCAGGAATAACTCACAAAAAGCTGGTTTTCTCTTGACAGTGAAACTGCATGGGCTGGGTCAACAGTGAAGCCCACAGCGTAGCAAGAAGTGGAGCGTTAGACTGGCAAAATTTGAAAGCCAGAAGAATTCAGAATGGGATTTCCACTGCTATTAACCAATTAAACTGATCAATGTTTAAAGGACATTAAATCAATGGATCAAGGTCTGTCTAAAATAAACAATAGCATTTTTACATGTAGGCGGGTAAGACTGTCATTATGCTTATTATTATAAAATATAATTCAGTATGGCTAAAGCAGAGAGAGGATCTTGCCTGGAGGGAACATGCTGACAGCCTAGTGCCTCAGCTGGATACTCCTTCTAGTAGAAATGTGTTGACTGTTCTTTATTTGAATAGAAAATGCACAAATTTGTGATGAAAAAAAAATCCAGAAATTTAGCACTGAACAATCAATTGGGTTCCTTATTTTGGGCATCTAGTATGAGACCCCTTGAACTGATTTCAGAGGAGTTTACAGGGGCTGTCTCTGACAGCATCACAAGTTTTGCATCCTGAAGTGAAGGCATCACAAGTCACTCTGGGATTGTTAATTGATATTAATTAATCATGAATGTTAAACCTGTATAGTCTCTGTCTCCATTTCAGAGACTACCCAAACACAGCATGCTGGTTACCTTCAGAAACCAATATTTTTGGTGCCATATCTTTACCTTCACTAAAAGCATGGGTTGTGTAGGCTTTGCATCCAAGCAGCCACTTTCCCCCAGCTGTATCTCGCTGAGTTAGCATGCACTGTGTGCCAAATGCAGACCTGGAGATATCATAGGAAACCACCCCTGCAGCCATGCTGTAATGCAAACCTCTTGGCATTTCTAAAAGAGCAGTTCCACATCTCAAAGCATGCTTGTCTCAATTTGTGTTCAGATTTTCTCATCTGCTGTAACAGCTGTCCCTTAAGTAGCACAAAATAGGCTCTGCAGACAAGTCCCACCATGGGAATTCTCCTCCAAGGGAAACCTTGCACTGTGGTAATTAACAGCTCACATGTTCAGAGTGATGCATGCCAAGCATATCAAGCTGGGGAGATGTTAAAGGAGCCCTGGTAGGGAAAGCTGAGTTGCTCCAGATTTGGGTGTAGGACAGCACATGTGTAACTCTTCTACATAACTCCTGTACATAGGCCAATGCACAGGAGCTGCACAGGAAGATGTACAAATTGGGAGTCTGAATGGAACTGAGAATTGGTATTCTTAACTGCTTGGCTTCAATTTGTTCTGTGCCTTTGTGTAGCTTACCTGGCTGTCTCATTATTTTCCAACTGTGAGTGAGAGAATATTTCTCATACTTTTACTTTTCTACAAATGTTTGGGGTCACAGCAAGGTTTGGATTCATGAAATCTCTGTCAGAGCTTTACTGAAAGCTGTAGGGCAGGGGGTCTAATTTCAGAATGACCTCAACTCCTGTGTCATACTTTTCTTCTGATAAGCAAGTGGTGAAGTTTTGGGGTTTTTTCTATTTTTTACTCTCTTCAGAAGCCATTGTCATAGCAACTTTCCCTTTAGTTGTCTTTAGGTGGTTACTATTCAACCTCAGGGCTATCTAAGTAACTGCTCTGGTTTTACCTGAAAAATTAAATGACTCTTTGCTTTAGGGAATAAACAAACATCATCTAAAAAAGCATATTTTTATGCTCACACTGCAGAAGACACTACTGCTTCTACTGTGATATGATAAATAACCAAGTAGGACAGTCTCATTTAGAAAGACTTAATAGTACAGAGTTAATAATTTTAATTTTTGTATTTTAGCTTCTCAAGAAAGGGACTATTGAAAATATAGGGACCAATTGAAGTATAGTTATATCTTAATATAATAAAATACATAACACAAAATTCTAATAAAGGCCAAAAACCTGAACAGATCTCAAAATGGAACAAGCATGATCACCCTAAAACAGTTCAAAGCCTCGGAGAACTTAAAACAGCTTGTAAAATTTAAGAGTTCTCCTCCTGTCCCCCCATCTCTTGCTACTGCAGCTGTTCCAGCAAAAGTTTCCTTCTGCAGAAGTTAGTTTTAATACCAGTTGGAAAAGGAGACTAAAATATTTTTGCTATGATCAGTCTAGATGAATTTCACACCTCTCTAACAGAACCAACTAGGCCAACAGCAGTGAAGTCACACTTAATCCTTGTTTTGAGGGTTTAAGGGAAACATAAACCCTGTGCTGCTTCTCAGCTGAAGAATGAATGCAGGGCCAAATCCGCCCCTTTCCTTTAGCTGCTGGGGAGCCTTGCAATAAACGGGAGGTAAGGAAGGGGAAGGCAGTACAGGAATTTGCAGATGCTGGAGGCTGACTCAGGGGGTCTCTGTGTGTCAGCAGTGGGAGCTGTCCCTGCTGGGTTTGATCCCCTGGCACAGGGCACAGAGCTGGGGACAGGCACCGGCAGCAGCTCCTGCTCCTCCTCAGCCCTGGCCTCACCCAACTTGAGCTGGGCTTACAGCAAGGACTTTGGCATGACTGCTTAGACTAATTGGCTTGACAGCTAATTAGAGCTCAGGAGCCCAAAGCACAAAATAAACATGACATCTATGCTCTGCCTTTCATAACACCGGCATTTCGCTCATTTTGGTGAAGCCTATTCGTGTCACATGGATTGAAATACCTCGTTGAACTTGTTACCCATATGACTGCCCTGAGCACATGGTAATGCCTCTTCTAATGCCAGGAAGCATATGAATTACACAATTGAAGCCACTGCAGTGTTAACACGGGTCATCCCGAAGGGAGCTCTCCCATTTATTCAGATGTGGTTGAAGGATTGAACTAAAACAATCATTATTATTATTAAGTGGAAGGATACACATATGGAAGATTGTTTGCTGAGCAACTGTTCCAGTGAAGTTTTGAACTGGAGGCAATAAGTACTGAAAAGGGAATAGCTGCTAAAAATGATGACTGAAATGATGATATTTTAATTCATAGGAAAATGAAAACATGAGTGGCTGATTCATGAGATGTGGAGAGAACAACCTTAATACAGCTGAGCTGATTTTGCTGCACATTATGAATAGTTTTATGTCAAGTTTTACTTCATACTGCTGAAAGATAACCATTGTCTTCACTGTTATTAGAAAATAAAATTACCAAAATTAAAAAAAAACCCCAAAAACCACCACCAAAAAACAAACCCCAAACCAAACCAAAACAAAAAACTCCAAATAAACAGACAAGCAAATCACCAAAACCCCCCAAAAATTATCCATCAAATTATTGATAATCAGCCTGTACTTTCCCAGGTCTAACGAGAATGCCTGAAAAGGAAAAGGCTGACCTGAGGTCTCCACATCCAGTTTTCATGCCAAAACACAGAAGATGGACCACAGCACTAAAATACATATTTTTTAGTTTGAATTGAGTGCCAGAAGGTTTTTGGGCAAGTGTGACAGTCTGTTTCTTCTGTGGCTGATTGCCAGACTCTGAACAGAATTACACAGGCATTACAGTTGTATGTAGGCTATTTTGTTCTGTTTCTGGGTTCAGTTTTGCCTTACAGGGAGGCTTCAGACATGTAACATCATTTCTTGGGCTGAGTCTGTGCAGTAAGTATGCTTATTCTTTCTTATTCAATTAATTATTTAGAAGAATAGATGAAGCAAAACTACCTTTATAGGTGTAATTTTATTTCCACAAGTGAAAATGCCACCATGTCAGGTTCATTGTAAACTTACTGTTGGTATATAAATGATCACAAACTCTGCAGCCTGTTTATGAAGGATTCAGATACCACAATGACAATCACAGAACACATTACAGTTACAAACCCACAGGATTTTTCTCTACCTATGGGTAGAGAAAACAATTCCATAAAGGATCATTTTTAAAGTATCCAATTTCTGAAGTAAGCTTGTGAAAAGGAGATGCACAATAGAGCTTTTTGGATGGATAGTAGTCACAAAGCACGTCAGTATCTGCCCAATGACATTGATCCTGATTAGGACATCCAAGTCCCATAATCATACAAACAAACAAAGACAACACATCTAGGCATACTTTCTATGTAGGTATGTTTAATTCATCATTCCAATCAGGATTCTAGGAATAAATACATACCAAAATCCTTATTTATCAGGGATATAAAAACTCAGGCAATAAGGGAAGAATTAATTGACTCTTTATGGAAAAAGAAAACCCCAAACTTCTTGTTTCAAAAGCAATTACTACAATTAAGTATGAAACAGCACCTTTCATGCCAGCAATTCACTCTGCATGAATTCACTTGGCCAGAAAAGTGCAGTTTGTGCTTCAAACTAGAGCTAGGAGAATGAAATGTTCAGTTTGGGAAGATTTCAGCTATGTGTTGATAGGGTAAAGAGTTGCTAAGGTTAATAAGAGCTTTTGAGAGAAAGGGAAGAGAAGAGAGAAGTGTCATTTTCTTGAGTAATTGTTTCATTCACAAAAACAGAGATAAGAAGCATGTGTAAGAGCCCTGGGGATGAAGGATGGGTTAGTTGTGATCCAGAAAGCATTTTAAGTCTTTTATAGGGGAAAAATTACCCTAGCTTTCCTTGATTTAGTAGGCAGGGGTTCCCATGAGCCCAGTTCATTCTTTCACTGCAAGAAGTAGGGTAGGTGATATTCAAAAGCCACTTCTTTCATATTGCATGACTCTTCCTCTTGGGGTGTTTCAAGAGGATTTGCAGTTCACAGTCATAGGATCATCACAGAGAATATTTGCCCCACACCCTTTAATCCATTGTTTCTAATGACGTACAGCTGTTATGCCTCTAGCCAGTTCCTAAGGAAAGGAAGCATGTTTAGGGTGTCCTGTTTTCATGTAATACAGTACATTATTTTTACCTACTAAACCAAAACCACCGTGTCTTTGGATTACATATGTAAAGAATGAACAGGCCTGAAATTAAGTATGATTTTTAGTGAATATCTCTTACTAAAAGTAGTAGATGTATATTTCATTATTTAACATGGCATTATTAAATTGCATTAGTTTTTAGACTATTTTTCACAGTCTGTATGATTTCCCCATTATAAATTCATTCTCATGGAAAATAGTAAAATGCTTATGATACAGACTCTTTTGAGCCTTTTATGAAGTGGCTTTGTC